AAAACCCTATACATTTTCCCTAAAATAACAAATAAATGTTTTAAATTAAGTACTGTCTCCCTATGATTTTTTTTTAAAAAAAAGTGGATAGGCGGTAATACCAATGAGATTCTGTTTGCATCTTCAGTTTCTCTAATGCGGCAAGAAAAATACTGTAAAGTATGTTTGCCAAATAAAACCAGTTTGTGTGTCAGACTTCACAATGACATTTGTCTAGCCTTTATATTGGCCACCTGGGGGAAAAAAAAAGCCACTTGTTTCTTGAATTCATTATAGGAAATTTTGAGCAGGTATCTAATGGAATTCTGCATTCACAAGTGACAATGTGTGCCATTTGCTCTTCCCCATTGATTGGATGCATCTTTTCATTTAGAAGTTCAGAATGGTTTGAACTGAGTTCAGGAAATTTTCAGTTTTTCCACATAAAAAGCAAAAAAACCCTTTTTTTTTCCCACAAAAAAGGTCAAAAGTTGCATTTTTAATGTGTCACTTGGGTTTGACATGTGGAAAAGCTACCTTGTAAAGTATATGGCTGGAGAGCTACATCAAATCATTTACATGTGCTATTGATTTACAGTTTGGATCTTAAGTTTGACTGATTGGCAGTAGCAAAGGCAGCAAGTAGTTGCATTTAAATGTGTGTATTACTTTCCTACACATAGTACTAAATTTTGCTACAGTAACAATACATTACAGCACCATGCATACTTTCAGGCTTTCCAGTAGTGTACCACTTTCCAAAATAGTTTGCTTAAAATAAAAATTATTGTGTTTTATAATTCAAGCAAATTAATTGTATTCACACTATAAACTACAAATTAAGCATTGAAGTTTTGGCTGTATTAAGTGAATGCATTTTTCATACTGCAAATTTCTTTGCAACTGAAAAATGTTTGTTTCAATAGTATATCTGACACGTTAAACATTTTAAGTCAGTTTCCCCCATTGTCTCTTTTCTTTCCTCTTGCAACACATGAACTAATTTGGAAACATGTCTTCATTACTGTAAAAATTGCATCCATACATTAATTTTAGTTTAAGTATCCCGGATCACAGCTCTGTGTGGCAGCAGTTGTAGCTTATACAAAATAACCTAATGTATTACATTACCCTTTAAATTGTGCTTGAGTATCATGTAAAATACAAGAACGACATGAGTCCATACATGTTAGACCCATGAGGTATCTCATAGCTTCAACAAGCACTATGTAAATAAGCTACCAAGGTAATTCTTTCCTTAAACCAGTTCCACTTAGGTATGAGCATTTTAAGTGTTCTTTTGGATCTGAAAGTAGTATGATTGGTGTCTGTCCAAGTATAGTCATAAAATAAACATTTTACAAATAATTTAATCCTAACATTGCAGTATACGTTTTGAGGTTTGACCTCTGCTGTTCGTACGAGTGATGTGCACAGTGTTAGACTTCTTTATTTTCGTAGTTTACTCTGAGAACATACATCAGGAGTGAATTAAAATTGCTTTGTTAGCATATGCTTTTATTGAAACATCCTTTCTACAAGCTTCATAAATTATAAATATACTTCAGCACAGACATGCAGAAATTATGAATGAAATAAAGTTAAATAACTGCTAATATTTTTCAGGTCCTTTTAAACAGATTTGAGTGTTTCTGATTAACCGTTTTAGTTGAAAGCAGACATTTTTGCTGAAATCTTCTGTAAAAATTGCTAGCAAGGTTAAAAATTCCTTAGAAAAAGCCTCTGCATGAGTTCAGAAGCTTTCATTGTGGATCAAAAAATGATCTGAATAGTTCTATGTAATTTTTAACAGTATATGTCATTAAGAAAAAATGATTGACTTTTTTTTATAAAAAAGGACAGAGCTAATTTATATCAGTTAAGACAATATTCAATAGTAAATTGAACACATAGATTGCTTATTTCATAATGTAGTAGATAGCCAGTAAAATCTTTTGAAGAAAATGCTATTTATTATTCCTACAAATGGAGAAAAAGTAGCATGCCTGCTGTATGTTTACTTATTTTATGTCTTTTCAAGGTAGCTACATTTTGCTATGGGCTGGAAAAATGTGTACTACTGCAATAAAAAATGTGTCTAAATGGTGCTTTATGTATTCACTTCAGTACTATTTACTTCAAAAAGACTATAAAACATCCATAACCAAGTGGGCACGACAGGCAGAAGCAGAATGATGAATGCCCTCCATTTTCCTTTTTATGTATTTTAATCTGACAGCTGTGGGGTTTGTTTGTTTGTTTCTAAAAATGCTTGGTCAGATGTTATATAGTATCACAAAAGAATAAGAAACCATTCCATATAAGGTCTGTTAGTATTTTTTTAAGTTTTACTTTGTTAGCTTCACACTCTTTTCTGAGTACCTTATAAAACCAAAAACTGTCTATAATCTTTTAGTTATTTATAATATGACAACAGGTTTGCTTTCAGTGTGCTACTTTTCAGGGAAGTCCCATTTCTCCTACCCATTGACATAGCCTTATACCCTGTACCAAAACTTAGTTTCAGAAATGTCAAACATTACAAATAAATGAGAAGTCAGATGAGGAAGTTGGCTACAAAAGGTCCTGTGGTCCTGGTCTCTCACATTTGCTATGCCCTCCAATTTCTTAATCAAACCAGAGTTAGAGAAACATGTTACAATTTTTTCTGCTCTTACTCAGTGGCACTGGGGTGGCATGTGTCAAAAGAACAACTCCTGATTATTTTGTGTGTGTGTGTCAGTGACTGCTGTCTTATTTGATCTAACCAGGTCTAGTACTGAACATTGAACTAGCATTGCTACAGCCCAAGTTGTAGTCCTTTTACCTTTCTTGTTTTCTTAATCAAACTTCAGGCAAATATAGATGAAGGCTCAAGTTGCAGTATTAAAATGCAGATTACACACGCTACAGATAAGAAAAGTATTTGGATCATTCACTCTGCTTCTGGCCCATTTGCAAATAATAAACTAAACCATTCAGAATATAACAAGGTTGCCTGTGCTGAGGGAACTGCTTCAAAGCAGTACACCGGGACAGAGAATTTTTGTCCCCTATAATGGCAATTTCTTTTACAAAGTTTTTGTGAAACGTCATACAAATAGGAAATAAATGAGGGTATCACTTCACACTCAAGGTATTTCTAAAAAAAAAACCCAACAAACAACAAAAAACATCATAAGAGTATAAGTGACTATAACTGAAGGATTAGTTTGAGATACATTCCAGGCTTTATTTTCTAGCTTTGTAGCAGACACTGCTGTGAAACTTTCAGCAAATATTCAGGACTCATTTCAGTCAGGTCTAGCCAGGAAAGCTTTTGAACAGAAAAAATCCTGGTTAGAAGAAAATACCAACTGCTTTGCTGGGGGCTAGATATTTAGATCATACATTGGATTGCCAGCAGAGGTTTCTCTCTCCAGCTTTCCCTACAACTCTGACCAAGCCACTTAATTTTTCCAGTAATGATTTTCTCTAGATAAAAATAAGCCATACTATTCTAACTGGGATCTTTCATCATTTCCCCACTTTCATGAAGTACTTTGAAAACCACAAATACATAATATAACAATAAAAGTCATTACTATCCTTATTTCAGTATCTAAAAAAGTACTGATAAAATTTTTTACTTATTGTTTTAATAGAGAATCCAGTAAAGCCTATCATATTTATAATAATATACACTGAATATATGTGTGGTTGTTTTTATAGTAGTTTTAATTTAATGTTGATATCTAAACGGTGTTCAAAAGCCCTTTGGTGAACACCATAAAGCTCTTTAGTCAGTCTGCTATCAGGGGTCATGTGTATTATAGTCACAACAGTGCAAATACTTTGTTCATTGTAATGGTTTCATTACTACATCAGTTGAAACATATATATTCAATTTGTGCAAAATTCAACTAAGTAGCTATAATTTACCCACTGTATATAGTTTTAAACACAACTGTGTATTTATTAAAACATTTATTTATGTGAACGTTGTAAGACATAATATGCTGTCTAAAAGCAAAAGTAGTATTCTATCACTGAAAAATCTCTTTAGCACATATTCTGGGACATTTACACAGGTAAATGTAATGTATTATGCAAATAATGTACTGTGCAGATAAGATCTTGATCACGTTTTTTTCTTCATTTAAATATTAAAACCAGTTAAATGTTTTTTCTCATCTTCTGACTGCTTTGAATAAATGTGGTCTCTCTAACTTCCATTTTGCTCTGTAATGTATTAATTATTGAATTAGCTTATAGTTTCTGATACTGTTCCACGCTCCCCAAGAAAGTCCTTTAAAATGGGTTACATTTCCCCAGCATATTTAGCCAGGTGCTCCATACAAATCTGTTCTCTCTGGTTTATTAAAGTATGTTAAGACTTCTTACATTCTCTGGAAATGAACTCATTGAAGCTAAGGAACAAAAATAATTGGAGAAAGTTCTTTTAGGATTGCATCTACTTGCTGCCCCAATCTTAGAGTCAGAGAGCAGTGAGGGCCGGCTGCTCCAGAAGCAAAGGTAAGCCAGGAGTCTTGTCAAGGCTAGCAGGGCAGGGACCTCACTGTCAAGGGTCCTGTCTGTCAGTATCTGAATGAGGCGAGCAGGGCAGGGCCAACGACAGTGTCCAGGATCAGCATAGTATGCTAGGTTGCCAGTCAAGTATACAGGGAATGGGGCAGGTCCAGGGTCGAGCCAGGGAGCTAGTCTGAAGGCCAAAGTCAGCATCTAGATAAAGAGGTACATGGCTAAGTATGTGCATGGCTACAACACAGGTCAGTCAGGTGCCAAGGGCAAAGAGCCTCAGCTTAGATGCTCCTAAGAGAAGGGGTAGTCACCACTGATGGTTCTCTTGGCTCTTTCCTGAACAGCTTCAAGGGCAGCTGAGGTTTCTCAGGCCTGCCACTTGCATTGTCTAAGTTGGTCCTGAGCTCAGACGGCCAAACTTCCAAGAGGATCTGTGACCCTTATATTCACATTATGTAGTAGAATTCACTCATTCACAGTTAATATAATCTGTGTTTCAGGATTTGAAGGTACTTACTGTGAAGTTAACAGTGATGAGTGCATCTCCCATCCATGCCAGAATGAAGGTCTCTGTGTGGACGGGGTTAACCATTACAGGTGAGGAAAATTATTTGAATGACAGATATTCAGTATGATACTTGGATGTTTATCATCTAATTGTTCTTTTGGTACTTTGCCTGTATTGTGTTTGCTGTCCTTCAGTGATGTAATACGTCTTTTTTTGTGATGCGTTTGACACGTTATACTCAAAATCTTCTTGTGGGCAAAAAGACATAGATGTACACCATACATGTGGACCCAAGAATCTATTGTAAGGCTAATTAAAATCTTAATAATCTGATCAAAATATAACAAACAGTTGTTATTAGTGCAGTTACAATAATACTAATAGTGTATGTTGAAATTAACAGAAAACAGCTTCATGAACAATGTAGTTGTAATTATTATATAAGAAATCTTGCAATTATCTAGCTCTTGTCTCTGTTGTTACGATTACCCTCGCAATGTCTGTCTGGGTCCTGTGATCAGTGATTTCAGTCTTCCTCAAGAAGAACTGGCAGTGTTACTGCAAGTCACTAGTGTCTGGAAGTCTTTGCCAGGAGAAGTGTGATGTTTACAGTGGGGGTTTTCTCATCTTCAGTCTCAGGCCTGTTTGGAGCTATTTTTGTATGTTTCCTTATCATGATTTACTTCCTTTGCACTGTTTACCAGCTTCCTCAGCCCACATGGACACAAAAGGCTATTGTTTGTAACACTGTGATTATCCCACTGTGGCATCCCCACCCTAGGTGCTATTCCCAGAGCTGAAGCTAAAGCATGAGAGGCAGCAGTCAGTTGGCTCCAGGGCAGGTGTCAAAACAAGTGAAAACCAGCTCAGGCCAAGGCAAGTTCTAAGCCCTTGCACAGTGGGGTCAGCACAAAGCCTGTGGCCTTCAACTAATAATGGTAAAAATCTTATTTCCTGGGCTGCAGTCACTGTATTTATGAACCTTGTTAAAGTCAGCACTTTGTAATGATCAGAAAAAAACAAATATAATTTTGGAACCACCTAATTCGTACCTCTCGATCTACCACATTTTTCCAGAATCTTTTTATATTACACTAAAAAGTAATATAGTGACATCCTTTTTGCTAGGTGCTCCTGCCAGCACGGCTTTACTGGGACACTATGTGAAGTGGAGATTAATGAATGCTTATCAAGACCCTGCAAAAACAATGGAACTTGCCTGGATCTCGTAAACAGGTTAGTTACTACTAAATGAAAAGCAATTCCCTGATTTCCTTATGTATAAAGTCTGCTTGCTGCTTTGAGGTTTGGATGGGACCTTCAGCATGTGACAAGGATTTTGTATTAAAATGAGGTACGCAAGTGCTACTGACTTAGCTATTTGGTTCTTACATGACCTCAGAGGAAAATAGAAAGGAAATTGTCTTCAGCACAACTTGCTCTTTTCCTCCTTACCTTTTTTTTTTCTTTTTTTAATTTGGAATAAGAGTGAAATAGAGGAAAATTGATCTTCAGTTAGATTGCTACGTGTCTTTTTTCAACTTCCAGCAATGACCTTTTCTAATGTAAATGTTTACTAAAAGTTTAGTGTAAACAAGAGAAAAATTTGTATCTTGTGTTTGTTCCACAACACTCTACAGTTATTCAGAGACTTGCGTCAAAAGAACATTAGCCCTTAAGTCATTCCTTATACCTTCAGCTAAAATTATTGTGCGCAGTTTTTCTACTAATTTAAAAAAAAGAGTAAATCACTCTGCTTGCTTCCGAAACATGGAAATGAGAAAAGTCTGTTAATTGTTTTAATATGGATCATGATTAGGGACACCAGCTTGACATCAGGACATACGTATAGCTTCAGAATATTGGAATAGATCATGTTGTTTACTTCTGACTTACCTGATTTTCCCTTTTCTGAAGATTCATCTGTAGTTGTGAACCTGGATACTACGGGTCTCTGTGTGAGATGGATGTAAATGAGTGCGAAACTTTGCCTTGCTTGCATGGAGGAAGTTGCATCAACAGGCTTGGAGGCTATCAGTGTTTCTGTCCCCCTGGATTCACAGGTATGGTCTGCTCTCTACCACAGTGGAGAAGGCTATTTCACAGGTTCTGCATGTTTTTAATTTTATAGCAATGGCCTCAACTAAATCAAGGAAGAGTACACAGGATCATCTGCTTATTGGAGGATAAATCAATATTAATTCAAATAGAACTTTGATCCAATTCTTGCTAAATAGCTCAAGATGTTACTTACATTAAGGCTTGATTTATGATTTCTTTAGTCACCCATACATTCAGCTGAAACACGTTAAAAGAGAGATTGTATAGTGCAAAGAAAATCAATGTTTTCTGAATTCAGCCAAGAAAAAAGTATTACCATGGATACAGAGTAAATTTTACAAACATAATAAAATGCTACCTTGTCATTTGAGTTTGTGCAAAACCATAGTAACACTGACTTTGTTGACCTGTTGGACTGACACTGTTGCCTTTAGTGTTAGTCTTTACATTTTTACAGAACTAATGACAAGATTTTTAATGGGTAGAGATGTAGTAAAATTTCTCTAAAATGATGTTGACGTTTATTTAAATGCTCTGCATGCTGCAGAACAAGTAGCTCATATTTAATGTTTTGATACATCTAGCTTAAGCAACCTGAAAACACATGGGGTCATATGACTCTGCAGAAATGTTTATAGTTGTCTGCCTCAAGTTGTATCATTTCTGCATTCTTTCTGCATAAAATGTTTTTTCCTACCCTTTCCAGCTTGTAATGAATACCACATAATTCATAAGATTAGAAAGGACGCAATTCGCATCCACTGAACTGAGAGGAATGTAGTTTCTCCACAGAACAAAGAACAAGTACAGTTTTGGGAATATCTGTATAGCTGTATATCCTTCTTCCATTCACCACAAACTTGAGTCCACATACCGCTTGTGCGGTGTTCTTCAAAATTATCCTTTACATTTCAGCAAAAATTGGAAAAATCTATATAATTCTCTTGCCTAAAAGCTTCCCCCCCCTGTTTTTTTCAGAAGGGCTATGTTCTGAATAGTACTTCTTGGGTATCACAGAAACTGGTTCATTAGGCAGTGGTGCTGCAGGTTTATAATTTTAACTAATAGATGTTAAAACATCTGTCTTCACCTTTATGTACATGTTTCTGTAAGAATTCCCAGTTATATTCAAAAAAGACAAGACACCTGTACCTGAAGGGCTTATGAGACTCTAATTTGAAAAGGAACAAGCAGTCTGCAGGTGTGCTTTCCTTTTATGATTCTTCATTATTGACTAAGCAGTTTGACCTGAGTTCTTTTCCCTAACACATTTAACCAACAAGGACAGGATGTTGGGTTTTGTTGGGTTTTTTTTGTGAGGTTTTTTTTAATCAGCTATAGTAGTTTTTTTGCTATTACAAGTAGTTATTTACTGGTAAAAATTCTTTAAGTATATTTACTTATATATACTTAAAGTATATTTACAAGAACAGTTGTTTACTATTTAGTTTTAATTCTTTAATAACAAGGGTAGTGTGATATCCAGGTGTCTATCAAACAATGAAACGTTACTCAAAAATTAGTGATAAATTGCCTATCATTTAATTATAACCAGTGATTTTTTTCCTTAAACTGACACTGTTTGGACATCCACTATGCAATGTACCAGTTAGATTAAGTCTGAAGGAATAATTCATCCAATACAAAGTGTTGGTATAGCAGTTGAACTAAGGCTTTAAAACAAAGTTGCAGTGTTAGCAGGCCCAGAAGTGAGTAAAGTAATTTGATTTCAAAGCAAGGTCTTTTCAGAGCAAGACATTGCTTTTCTGGATTATGAAGCAAAAAGAGGATGTGTCAAGCGTATGTGTCCCTGACAAACATACAGAAGTTTGAGGTTCTGAAGACTTCTTCTAGCAATTACAATTCAAATAACTAATAGCTGATTTTTCGTATTTAATTTAAGAAATTTTTTTTTTGTTTTATGTTACCTACACTACAGAAAAGGTAATTATACTGTTTGAGAGTACCAAGCTTTGGAATAATAAACAGTGAAAGAAAATACTTTAAAACTACAAAATATTAGTATTTAAGGTACTGAATTTATAACAGTATAACAAAAGTAATTTATTTAACTCTTTGAAAGAAAGATAGGTGTATTTCCACTTTCCTCTTCAGTAATTTCATAAATTTAGGAACAGCCTTTTTTTTTGTCATGGACAAGGTGCCTTTAAAGATAAATAACAGTGTGTATTGATATCAATGATCATTTGAACTTCAAAAATGTTTTAATGTACTTGTACAGGGAAAACTTCAATCATTGACTATAATTATTAAAATAGTACAGATTTATAAATTTGAATGGGAACTTATTATTTAATTGAATAATTAAATGGGTTAGGCCAAATTGTGTTACTATATTTCCTTTTATTTATAAAAACTTATTTTAAAAGTATTAACTTTCATCAGACATTTTGAATGTTTTTTCTGGTCATCATGTAATTTAATATCTTAGAGAAGGCAGTCTTTAGATGCTGATATCTGTTCTGTAAGCTCCAAAATTTTAGCAGCTAATGTATCTCTTACAATTGTAAGTTTTCCGTAAATGTATCTTATTTTGGATTTATTTTACATTGTTCATAATTTTATTTCATTTTAAATAGCTGTTTAACAAAAATACATTAAAAATAATTTATTAACTATTAAAATATAACTTCTCAACACTGCTGAGATAAAATCTGCTGTTTTGCAGCTTAGGTAGACTCTTAAAAAAAGCGATCACAGTTCAGATGACAAATGCACAGATGTATCCTTTCTGTCAAGATGTAACTGGCAGCAGCAATGGTCTTCTTAAACCCTAGATATCACTAATAAACCCTAGTTAAAGTCCTCACCCCAGATACTTAGGAAAATAAAACTAAGTGATCTGGGCATTCAAGAAACTTGGTTTTTTTCCCTGCCCAAAATGAGAAGTAAAGGGACTTAATAAAGCAGTGCTATATTAGAAAGAGGAGAAAAGTAACACAAGGATAATACCAAATAATCAACTAATCCTTTTAAAAAATACACAGTTCCTTTCCCTGGGTGGTTTTTTTGGTTGGTTTTTTTTGGCAAAATGCCTGCTAGACATCACTGCATTCCCTCTTCTGCAGTAGCCTTCTGCGTATGTTTAGTTGTCCTCAATCACACTGGCTAGCAAGGCCATATCAAAGGTGCAGATGACCCAGTGACATGAACTTTCCACCCCCAGCTTAGCCCTTCTTATTTTTTTAATTGCTATGGTTGGCCAGTGTTGCTCCATGAACCAATACTGCTCAGTTCCACTAGTTACTCTTGATAACACAAGATCTAATTATTCCAGCTCTATCAGCTGCTGCTGTTCTTTTACTTGTATTTGCTCTTTAGCAACTGCGTATATATAGTATACATCATCCCTGTTGCCCAAAAAGATTTTCGTAAACAGACCTATGTTGTTCCTTCAGATCTATGACTTCAGCATACTAAAGCTACAAACTGTCTCCTTACGTTAGTTTGACCACTCACTTCCAAGCACACAGAAGCATCATTAATTTTTCCTAGTTTTACACTCCATTGCAAAAAATACTGATTTATTTGAAACAGCATTAAACTTTCATGTTGAAAGACACAGGCCTAGAAAACTGGTTTAGGTGTTTGATGCTTAGGCACCACAAAGAAACTTAACAGTAGCATACCATAAAGTCTCTAGGTAACCAGTTAACTACAAAATTCTGTGAACTCTTTAATTCCCCAGTCCGATCATTCTTGTTCCATACCTCCTGTCTTTACACGAGGAAAGTCTGGCCTGGTTTATAGAACTAACCATGGAAAAAATCAGTGGCTGAAAGTCCTAAGTAGAATAGCTCTTTACTCAAGATCATAGTTATTACTGTTTATTGTTTGTATGTCGGTGGTACCTGAGTGTTAGATACAACGACATAAAACTGAAAGATACCTCCTGAGTCACTGAATCTAAAACCTGTTTTGTCTAAACGGTCAGCCATTCGTTGGCTGGAGTGATGAATGTTAATTGTTGTAACATGAACTGTTGAATTTGTACGGCAAATGTTGTAAAGAAACAAGTAACTCAAGTAACATTATGCTTTGTAATGTACCAAATATGAGACTTAATGTACACAGAGGATAGATCTTTTGAGTAAGAAAACGCCATGCTTACATAGTCATCTTTTAGCACTAAGATTCCCTGAGTAAGACATATTTAAAAGGGTTTGTTTTTCCTCTATGATTCCAGAATCCTTTGATTTCATAAATGTTGCTATAAATACAGGAAATTTGCTCATAATCTAAGGAAATCGAAGGAGAATCAAAGGCTATGTCAGATTTAATTTTGGCTTGGTAGGTTACTAAACCTTTGTTAGAGAATCTGAAGATACAGCGCAAAAAAGTGGAACTCATGACTGTTTGTGGAATTATAAGTTAAATGGAACATAATCAACAATTTAAAATTAAAAGCAAAATAAGGAAATATAATCAATGAGTATAGATATATCTTCATTATCACAAATCAATATGATGTTGCATTCTGAGTGAGGACTGGTACACAATTATGTAAAGAATAAAACAAGAAAAAATACATACATGTATATTCCACTGAGTTTGATATTAAAAAACTGTTAATTAACACACTAATATTACTTTCTCTTCAGCTGCGCAATATAACATCTTAAAAGGAATAAGTAATTAAACATAATGTATTATGATTATTATGTATTAGTTTTGTGGTCTTGTTTGTTCAATATCTTTATCGATGATCTGGATGAGGGGATGGAGTGCACCCTCAGTAAGTTTGCAGACGACACCAAGTTGGGCGGGAGTGTTGATCTGCTCGAGGGTAGGAAGGCTCTGCAGAGGGACCTGGACAGGCTGGATCGATGGGCCCAGGCCAACTGTATGAGGTTCAACAAGGCCAAGTGCCGTGTC